AGGAATGAGCACTGCTGATGACACTAGAGATATATTTTTTTAATTTGAAATCAGAATACAATATTATTTGTAGAAAGTCTTAAATGACAGAAACATCTAGAATTGTATTTGACCTCTTGTTGCTTAAGTGTGTATATAATACTGCACTGGTGCTAGTGCTACTGTGGGGTAGTGGCAAAAAAAGTGGCAGTTTTACATTGGTTAGTGAGATGCTCTGAAAAGTCTGTATGCAATGGATGTGGGTGTTGTCATTGCTAGTAGCTGGATTTGAAATAGTCCTTGTGATCTGCTTCCTTTCAAATAAGACCAGGGGATAATATTAATGTCTGGTTGTTGGTGAGATAAGATGCTTTGTGTTCTAGGGACTACAGTATTGTTTGACTGCTGTGATTAGTTGTTTATTTTATATATTAGATAATTATTATGTACGGAAAGTTAATACAAGTGCAGTAAATATGTTGGCTAGTTTAGTTCAGGATCATGACAGGAAACTGTCTCACCTTCTAGGTTACTGCTTATTGCTTGTGCAAGAAATCATCGGTGTTGCGAGGAACATAATGCTTTTAATTGGTACTTATTTCACTTGTTCTGCAAGGACTTTCTACACATATTTCATGTTGGCTCTAGGATATTTTGAAGCCCTGTGTGCTTGGTACTCATAGTGTTAATAAGCAGCTTCAGGCCTGAATGAATTTGGAACCTTATTGAAGGCATATGTTTCCTCTCTAGGACACTGTGTGTTACAATTGAGCTGTATCTGCCTCTCTCTAGGAATGAACTGGAACACCATCAGGACTCAAATATAGGTCCTTTGCTACGTTAATTTTGTAATTTCACTGCTGACTTTTAGATGTTGGATGTGTGCTTTGGCACTGCAGCCAGGTCTGATGAATCTCTAGCTAGGCAAGCTGCACATTGCAGGTTTGCAGGAGTCATCTGTAAGTTTGGGCTGTGGCAGAAAGGCTGCAATTGCAATCATAAGCAGGTGTGTTCCTGGTGCAGCAGTTCACATGGCAACTGACATGTTATGAACCAAAGAAGGTTGTCTGAAATTTCCTTCCAGTAGAAGGAATAAGAGTTGTGAAAAATGGCTTAGAGGGGATAAGGACAAAGAATCATAGGAACGCTCTGGAAGGACTTGGTGCTTCATTGCACGTTGCCCCAGGATACAACCATGGAGAGAATGACACATTGCAGAGATGGAAATTAAATTGAGATTGTTGTCCACCCTTGATTATGAATAACAATAGCTTACTTTTTTCACAACTAGGTTTGTTTTCAGTTCCAAACATATACTACTGCAGCAAGACTTATTATCTCACAAAATAGCAGGGTGGTTGAGGTTGGAGGGGACCTCTGAAGGTTTTGAAGGGGAGAAGGGGTAGGGTAGTAGGGATTGACATTCTCCTTTCTTTTTTCAAGGAGCATGTGCTTAAAAGCTAGTCTCTTTGGGTTCTCCACTCTGTTATTCATCTGAGTTTACAGAAGTTGAGCTGTTCGGTGGGGTTTTTAAATGAAACTGTGGCTCTCCATACAGCAAAGCCAAATAACTACTTTCCTTGCCAAATCACTTACTGCAAAAGTATTTTTAAAAGTGTGGATGGCTTGCTCATGTTGTCCTTTAATGAAAGAGTCAGTAGCAGCATCTCACAGCTTTGTGCATAGCATATGGTTACAAGGATTGAACACCACTGTCTTCTAAAGTAACTGTAAAACTAGGGAATCCCAAGATAACTCCTTGTTGGTCTTGATCCTTGTTGCTTCTTGATCCTAAGCCTGAGACTCTGATTCAACCTGTTAAGTGAGAATTTAGCAACAACCGTCTTCAGTTTTACCTCTCTTACAATTGTTTTAGTGCATCTTGCAGAGTTCCTTCATCCTGAAGCCATGATCCTTGTTGTATAGCTGCTGTGAGCCAGTCACACAGCTAGAAAAGAAAAAAAAAAAGATGTGGCATGTGCATGACCGTGAGGGTCATGACTTCAGGAATGGGAAAGTGATATGCTCCAGAGTTTGTTTACTGCAGTTTTGATGATCCACAAAGATTTAAGAAATAATGCTTTTAGTAGTACTGCATATAGCAGGACCTACATTCTTTCCTGTAAGTAACAGCTAGACTCCTCTGAGACAGCTCATGGGTCCCAACAAGATCTGTGTGAGATCTGGGGCAGGTAACATGCATGCAGGGTCTGTTCATTAGCAATTTGTAGGCTGTGACTGCTGTTTTCAAGGAACTGGTCCAGTTTCATTGTGCAATCTACTGAAACTCAAGTTTTCCACCTCTTTAAGCAGGCTAGTGGGAAGCAAATTTTTGCAGATGAGGTCTGAAATGCCATAGTATCACTAAAAATAATAACAAAAAATGTCCCTCCAAAAAAATGAGCAGTTTCAAAATACACATTTGTTTATTTTGTTACTTGAAGTTCAGCTTCCTGTGCAACTGTAGTGGTCCTAACTAATACTCTTTCTGTGGCTATTAATTCTTACCCTGCTGATGTGATTGGAGTATGTCTGTGATACAGTTCTTCCTGGTATCTCCTGTTTTCTGAGCAGTAATGCATGAATGTGTTTAGCTTTTCTGCATTGTCTTTAATACACAAACAAATGTTCTGTCTTTGTAATAATGAAAACTTCTGTATATACTTCAGAAAAGACTTATGTTTTAATATTTTGGGGGAAGAGTGATCTTGTTGATTAACTTTAATTTGAAAAATATTTATTACCAAAAAAGCCTCTTTTCTAGCACTGATTATGCTTTTGAAATTGCGGGGTTCACTACACACTTGGGCAGAAAGCAAAGCATATTTATTCCTATAATTAATCTAGCAGATATTCATAGAATAAGAGAGACCCCACAGTCTACTTTGATATGTTATATATAGGACTGACTGAACATCAGTGAAATATGAGAAATTGTACAGTGGTTTTAATGACCAGCATTTTTATTCTTTCTCTTCTAAGGCTTGTATGATTTTATGCTTGTTTAAAAAATTGTCTTTTCCCCTTCCCCTCTTAAAGGCAGAGACCTGTGGGTTCTTGTTCTGGGAAAGTTTCCAACCCATCATAAGATTGGCATTCCAGAGTTCAAGTATGTTGCTAATATGCATGGGGATGAGGTACGTTTCAATTTTTGCAATGTCATTTATACCGAATACACTTACAAAGGTTTAGAGTGAACTTCTCTCAAGCATATACTACTTATTATTGATGTATGTCATAACTCATAGAGGACCTAATATGTATGTATTTCTTGAGGAATTTTTAGAATAAAGTTCCCTTGTTTTAGTAGAAGGGCTTTAGGGGACCTTACATCATGGTGAAGAATCCTACAGTCCTATACCCAAGACCTCTCTTAAGTAGAGAACTTTGTCTTCTCCAAGTGAGTAAACCCAGAGGTTTTAACTTTCCTAACAAGGAGTTGGATGCAGTAGTTTGCTTGTACATGAAATATGACCAATAGAACTCTTCAAATACATCCTGAGATTAAATAATAACTGCTGTGAAGCATCAAATTATTTATTTTAGGAAGACAATTTATCTTGGGTACCTTAAGCTAGGAATACCTGGATTCACCTGAGATAACACAATGAGTACAAAACAAAAAGCAATTCCAGAACAATTAACTTGCTCTGGGAAGAATGCCCACTTATTCTTCTTTGAAAATGATGATTATGAGCTTCCCTGGTGCAGTACATGAATCTGGATCAGAAAGAATCAAAGCTTCACTCTCCTCTATAATACTTTCCTGCTTTCTATTTCCCTGAATCCTTAGCTTTACCTGCATATATTAGTCATGTTCAGAATAAGTTTAAACTACAGAATCTATTTTATGCAGTCTTTAATATGAAGGTTAAATAATTTATCAGGAGTAGCAAAATTTATATATATGCTAGACTGTGAATTCCCCAAACTAGGAAGAATAGGGGTAGTAGAAAGTGTATCCTGTATGAAGCATAACATATCACAAGTTATTGCTATTAACAGTATTTTGTGTGAGCACTTGCATGCCTACAGGCACTTGTGACATTGTGTGCCAAGAATTTTCCCCAGATTAGACTAACTTCACCTTGTTTGACAGTGGCTGTCCTCAAAGTGCTGCTGGGAGTTTAACTGCTTTGGAATTTAACTCTGTGTGGGAGGAAGCTGATTCATGGTTTCAAATGGGTACATGTTTTGCTGGATGCCCAAGGCAGGGTTTGCAGCTCCTGGTGTGTGTCAGCAGGGAAGTCCAGGGTGCCTAGGGTCTGAGGCTCCATACGACAGTCCCTGCAGACTGCTGAAGGGAATTGCAAACCCATGGCTATAGATCACCAAGCTTTGATGGGAATGAAATGGAGGGCAGGATATAATCTCATCCAGAATGGCCTGGCTCTCAAATCCAATATTGCTGGACTGCAAAAGTCTGCTCATATTGAAGCCTCCACAATGAAGCACCCCTGCCATTATCACTGCCCAGATGGATAGTACAAGGAGCTTTGACCATAGAATCACACACTGTTAGCATATCCAAGGGTCAGGAGTTGCTAGGGATTGGCCACTCGGATCACTGCCAAGGATCTAAGTTTTTATTGACTTCATGAGGAAATGAAGCAAGATTTTGTTTTCAAGTCAGACACAGTGCCAGACAGTCTGAGCAGGGTTGATCCTTGAGCTACCAAGGTATCATATAGCACTAAATAGCATGCTACATTCTACCTTGTTTGTTAGACTGAGTATGCACCTAGGGAACATTCCAGAAATAGAGCTGTTCCTCCTTTTCAGGCCCTTGTGATGATAATTTGCCTTATGGGGCTTTTCTGTGTATATATATAAATAACACACAGTTGGTGGTTGTTTATTCTGTCTGATCATAAATGTATTTCAGATGGCAGGAAATTAATTCCTCATATAGAGAGGCATTGGAGAACTGGAATATTTTTCCCATAATCTAAGATTCTGGTGGACTAGTCACTGGGGATAGATTCAACTACCCCTTTAATATGTTAAGCAGATAAGTTTTGCACTAGTTATGTGACAAGCTTCAACTTGTGTGCCAGAGTCTTTCATAAATAGAAATTGCAGGATTATGGCTTCATTGATCTACTCAGGTCTCTTGTGCTTCAGTGATGCTTTCCATAACTGATACAAAATGATAGAAGTTCTGTTCTCAGTGTTGTTTGGTGATGCTGCCCTTCTAACCTGTCATGATCACATAAATTACACTAATTCAGCTGGCCAGCTGCCCCTGAAACATAAAAGTTTGGGAGGATCCTGAATTGTTTATGTGCAGGCGGTTCACACATCCTGCTGGAAGGAAGTCTAGATTATTTGGAGAGGTGCCCAACAGGGAAGTTCTAAGAAAATAATGTGAGCACACAATATTAAGGAAGGAGCATTTTTTTCAGAACTGGAAAGATTTATTTTTCTAAGTAGGTTGATTTTTTTTTTCTTAATACTGTGAGATATAACCAGCCAAGATTTAAAAGTTTTTCTTTTGTGTTCACCATTGCCAGAGTGAACTTTTGCCCCAGATCCACAGAGAGGCAACAAAAGAGTACTCCCATTCTGTGTGCCTGGACATAATTTACAGCAGTGCATTTTGTTTAACCCAAGCCAGGTTAAAACTGATTTAAACTGACTTTAATCAAAATGCACTAATAAACTGCACAAAATGCATAAGCCTGTAAAATGTTAGTAAAATCTGTGTTAATAAAGGTGAGGGAAAGGTTGCCTGCTGTTCTGAGGCAGCTCTCATTCTTGTCCCAGCCTTGAACTCTTACTTGAAAGGTCTTCTCTCTCTCAGTGTGTACACTGACACATTCTTCCCTGGGAAAGAATCCATTCCACATAACATCAACCACAAACAAACCCCTAAACACTCCTAAGTTATAAATGGAGCAGAACTATCACCTTTGGACCAGCTGTGCCAGGGACTTGAGTCCATTCTACACAACTGAACCATATGATCTAATTGGAAGGATGTTCCAAAACCATGTATATCACATCAGGGAAACCCTTTAAGGAAAAGCATGTCTGAACAAATGGAAAACTACTTGTACGTTTCTGCTTGTTCTCTTCAATGCATTAAGTACAAAGCTTTCTTAACTTTCTGCAGCTATGGTGTCACTGGGCCATCACAAGATAAACTCTCAGGATAGCAATGCTGATACCAATCATTTTCTCCTAAAGCATCTACTTCTGATCATTTTATTTTCTTGGTGTAATAGTATTTTACCTCTTTCATTATGTGAAACTGAGCCTGTGCTGGTAGGTCTGAGCAAGCCTACGTGTAAGGACATGCTTATCGCTTATCTTGTGATATAAATTAATGCAACTAACTATACCCTATTTTCCATGTCGTCATAGACATATACAGAGTAGGGTTTCCTGAGATAGAGGCTTAGGTGAGTAAGGACCAGAGTGGATTGCTTAAAAAGACCCAAACAACAAACTAATGAGTCTTGTGTAGGATTTCTCATTCTTATTTCAAAAAAAGTAATTGAAGCTGCATTTACCCTATCACAATACCACTATGGAAAAAAAATTGGTTTTTATCACCTGGTTGTACAGGAAGAATTGTGTCCACAGACTACACAATCTGCTGTAAGGAGTTTTTAGCACATACGCCTATGTCCTTTGTGCCATGTAATATATTATGGAAGTGGTGTGCCCGGAAACTGTATGTGCTCTAGAAAAGAACAAAAATATTATATGCAAAATTATTGCACCATGAACTATTTTCCACATGGCTTCAGTGTCAACTGATGTAATGTAAAGGAGGTCAGAAGCACTAGAGATTTCAAAATTCAAAGCAGTCAAGTCTCTGTGCTAACAACAGACTTGAAAAAAAGTTGAATGCTGCTGAGATCTCTTTCGACACAGGTAAGATTGCTGCCTTGCCCCAGTTACCTTTCTGCTTATCTTTCCTCACACTGTTGTGAGTGGGAAAAGAAAAAAGCTCTCCATTTCTCAGCCAGGTGAACCCTGTGCTGAGAAGCCTGAAGCCTGTGGAATTTGTCCAGGTGGTAACAACTTATACCAGTTACTAGTTCAAAAGTAGGCTTTGTGTTGCCATTTCCTTCAGTGATAAGCCTAGGAACTTCACTTCCCTGTCATATTTCCATAGTGGTTACTGCTATAGAAATAAGTGGATGTGTGCCAAACTGTATTTGCATAAACAGTTGCTTTAACACTGGTGTATTTTAGTAAAGAAGGACAAACACAGAAGGGTGTGTGCATAATAATTAGTGCTGTACAAGTGTTAAAAATAACATCTTGCAAGTGAGGCATTGGTGTGGTAAACCGGGATGGACTACTGGATTCTCTGCTCCAACTTCTCTTCCATAGGTGGGGTTATGCCTGGTATGCTGAACTAGGCCTGTGGATCAGTCAGGGCTGGAGTGAGGAGCCTGGCAAGACTGTGCTGCCTTGAAACAGGTCCTACCTGATGGTTTGGCTCTTTCTTTCAACATCGTTCAACTTAAAAACCAGGCCATGTTTAAGGAAAGAATTTTAATAATAAAAATGGGCAGAGTCCATCCACCCACAGTCCCCTGGTATTAGGTCTCTATCATGTGGTAACAAAAATGCTTTAAAAACCAGAGGTGCTGCAGTAAAGTCTTACAGTGCAGGTGCAATTGGAGCTAACCTTAATCTTCTAACTGGCTGTTGCTAGGGCTTCTTGAGTAAGCCCTTCAGTAGCAGAGCAGGGTGCTGACACAGCCATGCTAGAGGGGAGAGTCAGAAAGTTTAAGGGATGTGTCTACAGAAACAGCAGTCACACCCTTTTCTACAGTGTTGATCCATGCCCTGACACATACACGCTTCTTCATTCAAG